CACTTGTTTTACCTTTAGATAGAGATTGCCTTTCATATCAGGGTTTCATAACTATTAAGGTTAATTATTATTATAATTGTTTTCACAAATTAAAATTTTTTTGATATTAAATAAATTTATTATTATTTAATAGAAATGTGAATTTTTTATTAAAATATTGCTTGATAAAAACAATGCACCAGCATTAAGAAATGCAAAAATTTATGGTAGCCCTGAATTCAAACAATTGATTTTTGGTCATGATAAAATCTTAAAGCAGGTAAAGAAACACAATTATTTATTTGTGCTGTTATAATTACTATTTACTTATGTTGAGAATTATTTAGAGATTGGAACAATGTTATAATATCAATGAATTTTTTATTGATCTAAAAGATTTACTTGTAAAGTATATATTTATAAATATAAATATAAACTCATATTATTTGAATCTTTAGTTTATAAGGAAGAAAAATTAATTATATATATTTTATTTTAGGAGCATCTAACGATCAAAGAAAAAGAAGAAGTAATGCCACCAGGAATTTATTATTCCTCATTATTATCTGAGCTTGATAAAATTGGCTGGGATAAATTGGAATCACTTGATCCTTCCTTGAAATCTTTGGTTCTTAGATTAAAGTATTATTTTTCCAATTACAATGAATTTACTTTTTCCAATTATATGATAAAATATTAATACCTATATTACATACAGAACAATCCATCAATTAATTAATTAATATTATATACATGTATTAAAGTGATTCATCAGGTCATCAACACAAAATAAATATAACATTACCTTTTTCTTATCCAAAATCACCTCTTATTATACAAGCTGAAATTCCATCTGAAATTCAACTGAATCGTATCTTTGACCTGAATGAAGTGATTTCTATTAGTTATAAAGTAAATAGTTTATATACATTCATATGTAAATATTTGAGTGTGTATATCTATAGGAAATCTATTAAAGAAGATTATTGATTATTTGAAAAAGGAAATAGAGAAATTTCAAGAATTTTGGTCAATGCTTGATGATGTTGATCAGAACACTTGGATTTTAGAGCCAGATAAACCTAAACGAAATGATTTAATAAGGAGAATTGCACTTGGTAATCATTGTTCTTTACAAATAAAAGTGAATCCTCAACACCCAAAAGATGTTTGTGAACTAAAGTTATTTGGAGCCAACAATTCAATTGCATCTTTTAAAGATAAATTCTCAAAAAATTTAAACAAATGGTTAATATTATTTATTTATTTTATTATTTTACTTGTAATATTTTATAAATTGCAATAATTAATGATTATTATTATTTATTATTCAAGGAATATGTCTCTTAACATTCGACAAAATCTTGAAAATATCCTGGAAATTAAATTTCCATCATCTCAATCATCATCATTGCCTGGAGCTGATTATGAGATTGAATGTGGAATTTGCTATACATATCATTTAGAAAGTTCAATACCTGAATATTCATGTAATAATTCGAAATGTGGAAGGTTATTTCATCAAATTTGTTTATCTGATTTATCATATATGCAGTATATATTATGCATGTGTGTGTATTTATATAAATTTGACAAGTTTTTATTATTAGTGGCTAAGATCAATTTCTTCAATAAACCAAACTTTTAACTTGGTATTAACTGGAAATTGTCCATATTGTGAACAAGTAAGCAGTTGATATTAATTATAATTAATAATTGCAAACACTAATCTATTTTTAATATTAATTCATCATTATTTTCAAGTATCACAATACAAAATAAAAAATTATAGTGTATGGAAAAGATACATGAGAATTTTTTTTACTAATATTAATAATAATATTATCATCATTTTTTTTTTTTACAAGATAATTTTTTTTTACAAAAAATATAGATATAATAAATAGTTATTGTTCTATTTCGTATTTAATGTTACCAAATCAAATTCTAATAAAATCTCGAACATCTTCATAATCTTTCATTGATTCTAAATAACTAATAAGATGTAGTAAA